CCCTGGTGGCCCCAGGAGTGCCCTGGTGGCCCCAGGAGTGCCCTGGTGGCCCCTGGTGGCCCCTGGTGGCTCTGGGAGTGCCCTGATGGCCCCTGGTGTCCCCTGGTGGCTCTGGGAGTGCCCTGGTGGCTCCTGGTGTCCCCTGGTGGCCCCTGGTGGCCCCTGGTGGCCCCAGGAGTGCCCTGGTGGCTCCTGGTGTCCCCTGGTGGCCCCTGGTGGCCCCTGGTGGCCCCTGGTGGCTCTGGGAGTGCCCTGGTGGCTCTGGGAGTGCCCTGATGGCCCCTGGTGGCCCCTGGTGGCTCTGGGAGGGCCCTGTTGGCTCCTGGTGACCCTGGTGGCCCCTGGTGGCCCCTGGTGGCTCCTGGTGGCTCCTGGTGGCTCTGGGAGGGCCCTGGTGGCCCCTGGTGGCCTCTTGGCTGTGTCAGGGTGGGCTCGTGGGCAGGGCTGGCGCCACATCCCACGCTCACTGCCAGGGTGTGTGGCCTCCGTGTGTCCCTCGAGAGGGACATCCCACAGGAGCCTGCAGTGACAGGGGAAAGCTGGGACAGTTTTGGGCAGAAAGAGTGGAATTAGGTCGGGTATTGGACAGAACTGTTCCCTGTGAGGGTGTGGGGCCCTGGCACAGGTGCCCAGAGCAGCCGCGGCTGCCCCTGCATCCCTGGCAGTGCCCAGGGCCGGGTTGGGCACTGGGGTTTGGATCGCCCTGGGATGGAGGGAGGTGTCCCCAGGGGTGGGACAGGAGGAGCTTTCGTGTCCCTTCCCACCCAACCCTTCCATGGCTCCGTGATTCTGTGATCGCTCTGCAGGGGGAGCCGCTGTGGGCGCTCCCTCTGCTGTCCCACCGCGCCCGCGGGCGCATTTTGGGATTTGCGGCTTTCCCGCTCCTTTTCCAGCAGCTCCGGTCCCGTCCTGGCGCTTTTCCTGTCACCCCACTCTTGTCCAACCGAGCCAAGGCGTTTCTGGGCGCCGTGTGACATTCCAGCGGGGACAGGGCTCGGTGCGGTGCCACATTCCCGCAGGAGTGGGGTCAGTGCCACATTCCCGCAGGGATGGGGTCCCTGCAGTGCCACATTCCCGCAGGGATGGGGTCAGGGATGGGGTCAGTGCCACATTCCCAGAGGGATGGGGTCAGGGATGGGGTCAGTGCCACATTCCCGCAGGGATGGGGTCAGGGATGGGGTCAGTGCCACATTCCCGCAGGGATGGGGTCAGTGCCACATTCCCGCAGGGATGGGATCAGGGATGGGGTCAGTGCCACATTCCCAGAGGGATGGGGTCAGGGATGGGGTCAGTGCCACATTCCCGCAGGGATGGGGTCAGGGATGGGGTCAGTGCCACATTCCCAGAGGGATGGGGTCAGGGATGGGGTCAGTGCCACATTCCCGCAGGGATGGGGTCAGGGATGGGGTCAGTGCCACATTCCCAGAGGGATGGGGTCCCTGCAGTGCCACATTCTCGCATGGATGGGGTCAGTGCCACATTCCCGCAGGGATGGGGGTCAGTGCCACATTCCCACAGGGATGGGGTCAGGGATGGGGTCAGTGCCACATTCCCTCAGGGATGGAGTCAGTGCCACATTCCCACAGGGATGGGGTCAGGGATGGGGTCAGTGCCACATTCTCGCATGGATGGGGTCAGTGCCACATTCCCTCAGGGATGGAGTCAGTGCCACATTCCCTCAGGGATGGAGTCAGGGATGGGGTCAGTGCCATATTCCCGTATGGATGGGGTCAGTGCCACATTCCCACAGGGATGGGGTCAGGGATGGGGTCAGTGCCATATTCCCGCAGGGATGGGGTCCCTGCAGTGCCATATTCCCGCAGGGATGGGGTCAGTGCCACATTCCCGCAGGGATGGGGTCCCTGCAGTGCCACATTCCCGCATGGATGGGGTCAGTGCCATATTCCCGCAGGGATGGGGTCCCTGCAGTGCCACATTCCCGCAGGGATGGGGTCAGTGCCACATTCCCTCAGGGATGGGGTCAGTGCCACATTCCCTCAGGGATGGGGTCCCTGCAGTGCCACATTCCCACAGGGATGGGGTCAGTGCCACATTCCCTCAGGGATGGGGTCCCTGCCCGACCCTCCCTGTGTCCCCGGGAGCGTTCGGAGCCGCTCCATCCCTCCCGTTATACAACGAGCTCTTCACTATGCAAATGTATTCCGCTCTCGGCTCGCACAACCTCCTGTTTTCCTCCAGCTCTCGGCTCTCAAAACCTCCTGTTTTCTTTCAGCCGCTTTTTTTGGAAACGCAGCGCTTCCTGTGGGAGCGCAGCCCGAGTTCCCGGAGCCATCCGGAGCCATCCGGAGCTGTGCCAGCCCCGGGCTGCAGTGGCACCGAGTCCCTGGAACCATCCGGAGCTGTGCCAGGCCCGGGCAGGCTGCAGTGGCACCGAGTCCCTGGAACCATCCGAGCCGTGCCAGCCCCGGGCTGCAGTGGCACCGAGTCCCTGGAACCATCCGGAGCTGTGCCAGCCCCGGGCAGGCTGCAGTGGCACCGGGTCCCTGCAGAGCCCTCCCCGCCCTGGCTGCGGGTCCCCCGTGCCCATTCCGCAGCCCCCGGCGTGTCCCGGTGCCGGCAGTGCCCGGTCCGAGCCAGGAGCGGTGACACGGGGGCTGCAGTGCCACCCTTGGAGCTGTGACACAGGGACTGCAGTGCCACCCTTGGAGCTGTGACACGGGGACTGCAGTGCCACCCTCAGAGCGGTGACACGGGGGCTGCAGTGCCACCCTCGGAGCGATGACATGGGGGCTGCAGTGCCACCCTCGGAGCGATGACATGGGGGACACAGTGCCACCCTTGGAGCGGTGACACGGGGGCTACAGTGCCACCCTCAGGGCAGTGACACAGGGGCTGCAGTGCCACCCTCAGGGCAGTGACACAGGGGCTGCAATGCCATCCTCGGAGCGATGACACGGGGGCCGTAGTGTCACCATCTGTGCCACCCTCAGGGCAGTGACACGGGGGCTACAGTGCCACCCTCAGGGCAGTGACACAGGGGCTGCAGTGCCACCCTCAGGGCAGTGACACAGGGGCTGCAGTGCCATCCTCGGAGCGATGACACGGGGGCCGTAGTGTCACCATCTGTGCCACCCTCAGGGCAGTGACACGGGGGCTGCAGTGCCACCCTTGGAGCAATGACATGAGAACACAGTGCCACCCTTGGAGCTGTGACACGGGGACTGCAGTGCCACCCTTGGAGCAATGACATGAGAACACAGTGCCACCCTTGGAGCGGTGACACGGGGGCCATAATGTCACCGTCTGTGCCACCCTCGGGGCGGCGACATGGTGTGGTGGTTTGGTGCCATGACACAGGGGCCGCAGTGTCACCCTCGGAGCGATGACACAGGGGCTGCAGTGCCACCCTCAGAACAGTGACACGGGGCTGCAGTGCCACCCTCCGGGCAGTGACATGGGGACCACAGTGACACCCTCAGAGTGGCAACACCTGAGCTGCAATGCCACTCTCAGGGAAGCAACACGGGGGCTGCAATGTCACCTTCTGTGCCACCCTCGGGGCACTGATATGGGGGCTGCAGTGCCACCCTCAGGGCAGTGACACGGGGGGTGCAGTGCCACCCTTAGGGAAGTGACATGGGGGCTGCCAGAGCAGCAACATGGGGCACTCAGTGCCACTGTCTGTGCCACCCTCGGAGCGGTGACAGGGGGCTGCAGTGCCGCCCCCGGGGCAGTGACATGGGGGTCACAGTCCCAAGGCTCTCGGACACCCCCCGAGCCCCTCTGGGAAAGCTCTGCCGGGCAAAAAGAAATCTCAGCACAGCCAGGGGTGAGACAGCAGGAGTTTATCTGAGCCCCACATCCCACATCAGCACAGCCAGGTGAGACAGCAGGAGTTTATCCGAGCCCCACATCCCACATCAGCACATCCAGGTGAGACAGCAGGAGTTTATCCGAGCCCCACATTTCACATCAGCACATCCAGGTGAGACAGCAGGAGTTTATTTGAGCCCCACATCCAGCACATCCCACATCAGCAGAGCCAGGTGAGACAGCAGGAGTTTATCCGAGCCCCAGCCCGCCCCACACACGGGTTTGTCACCACAGGGACATGCGGAGGGACCCGAGGAGCAAAGACCCACGGGTCCCAGGACCTGGGACCTGCTGTGCTGGGATCTTGGTCAGTGGTGGGACACATGGAGGGATACGAGGAGCAAAGGCCCACGGGTGCCCCAGACTCTGCTGTGCTGGGATCTCGATCAGTGGTGGGACACATGGAGGGATACGAGGAGCAAAGGCCCACGGGTGCCCCAGACTCTGCTGTGCTGGGATCTTGGTCAGTGGTGGGGCACACGGAGGGATATGAGGAGCAAAGGCCCACGGGTGCCCCAGACCCTGCTGTGCTGGGATCTCGGTCAGTGGTGGGGCACACGGAGGGATGTGAGGAGTAAAGGCCCATGGGTGCCCAGGACCCTGCTGTGCTGGGATCTCGGTCAGTGGTGGGGCACACGGAGGGATGTGAGGAGTAAAGGCCCACGGGTGCCCAGGACTCTGCTGTGCTGGGATCTCGGTCAGTGGTGGGGCACACGGAGGGATGTGAGGAGTAAAGGCCCATGGGTGCCCAGGACCCTACTGTGCCGGGATCTCGGTCAGTGATGGGACACATGGAGGGATATGAGGAGCAAGGGCCCACGGGTGCCCCAGACCCTGCTGTGCTGGGATCTCGGTCAGTGATGGGACACATGGAGGGATACAAGGAGCAAGGGCCCACGGGTGCCCCAGACCCTGCTGTGCTGGGATCCCCATCAGTGGTGGGACACATGGAGGGATGTGAGGAGCAAAGGCCCATGGGTGCCCAGGACTCTGCTGTGCCAGGATCTCGGTCAGTGGTGGGACACATGGAGGGACCCAAGGAGCAAAGGCCCACGGGTGCCCCAGACCCTGCTGTGCTGGGATCTCGGTCAGTGGTGGGACACATGGAGGGATACGAGGAGCAAGGGCCCACGGGTGCCCCAGACCCTGCTGTGCTGGGATCCCCGTCAGTGGTGCCGGGGGTGGCTCTGCTCCAGCCGGGGCCCGGTGGTGACGGTGGTGGTGATGGTGATCCTGTTCACCGTCAGCCCTCCCGAGGGGTAGGTGTCCAGGCACGCCTCCCGCTTGTACTCGGAGACCTGCTTGGAGGAGAGCAGCTCCCACACGGACACCCGGCGCTGCTGGGACGGGTCACAGGTGATGTAGGAGCCCTCAGAGCGCAGCAGGTCCATGGTGTGAGCGGGGAGGGCCCTGAGGTGCTGCTCCAGGCTGTCGCTGGCCAGGCTGCTGGTGGTGCTGAGCAGCTCCTGGATGGGCAAGGTCCCCCCACGGTACAGCTCCAGCAGCTCCTGACGCTTCTCCTCGGGGATGTGGTCAGAGAAGAGCAGGTCCCACAGGGACACCTGCCTGCCTTGGAACTCTCCCACTGACACCTCAGCTCTGGTGGCCTTCAGGGTCTCCTCCCAGGCCCCATCCCCATCCACGGCTGTGGGTTCAGCCTCTGTGGCCACCGGCTCTGCCCTGGAACCACTCACGGGCTCTGCTCTCTCCGCTGCTGCCATCCTGGTGACAATGGTGGTGACAACGGTCCTCACCTGCTCCAGGCTCAGCTCTCCTGCCTCGTAGAGCTCCAGCAGCTCCCTCCTGTTCTCCTCGGGGATGTAGCGGGAGTGCAGCAGGTCCCACAGCGAGACCTCGCGGCCCCGGAACTCCGCAGCCTCCACGTGGACCATTGTGGTTTTCAGGGTTGTTTTCCAGGGCTCCTCTTTGGGGGGTTTCTCATCACGTTCCTCTCCTGCTGCTGTCTCGGGGTCCTTGTTGGAACTCTTGACTGAAATTTGGAATTTCCTGCCTGCAGATTCCTTTTTCTTGATGAGAGTGGTGACAACAAGGATTAACTGCTCCAAGGGCAGGGTCCCCCCACGGTACAGCTCCAGCAGCTCCTGACGCTTCTCCTCGGGGATGTGGTCGGAGAAGAGCAGGTCCCACAGGGAGGTCTCTCCGCCCTGGAACTCCCCCACAGACACCTCGGCTCTGGTGGCCTTCAGGGTCTCCTCCCACGTTCTATCCCCATCCAGGACTATGGGTTCAGCCTCTGTGGCCACCGGCTCTGCCCTGGAACCACTCACGGGCTCTGCTCTCTCCGCTGCTGCCATCCTGGTGACAATGGTGGTGACAACGGTCCTCACCTGCTCCAGGCTCAGCTCTCCTGCCTCGTAGAGCTCCAGCAGTTCCCTCCTGTTCTCCTCGGGGATGTAGTGGGAGTGCAGCAGGTCCCACAGCGAGACCTCGCGGCCCTGGAACTCCGCAGCCTCCACGTGGACCATTGTGGTTTTCAGGGTTGTTTTCCAGGGTTCCTCCTTGGGATGGTGGTCACTTTCCTCTCCTGCTGCTTTCTCGGGGTCCTTGTTGGAACTCTTGACTGAAATGTCAAATCTCCTGCCTGCAGATTCCTTTTTCTTGATGAGAGTGGTGACAACAAGGATTAACTGCTCCAAGGGCAGGGTCCCCCCACGGTACAGCTCCAGCAGCTCCTGACGCTTCTCCTCGGGGATGTGGTCAGAGAAGAGCAGGTCCCACAGGGAGGTCTCTCCACCCTGGAACTCCCCCACGGACACCTCGGCTCTGGTGGCCTTCAGGGTCTCCTCCCAGGTTCTGTCCCCATCCAGGGGTGTGGGTTCAGCCTCTGCAGCTACCGCCTCTGCCCTGGGACCACTCACGGGCTCTGCTCTCTCTGCTGCTGCCATCCTGGTGACAATGGTGGTGACAACGGTCCTCACCTGCTCCAGGCTCAGCTCTCCTGCCTCGTAGAGCTCCAGCAGCTCCCTCCTGTTCTCCTCGGGGATGTAGCGGGAGTGCAGCAGGTCCCACAGCGAGACCTCGCGGCCCCGGAACTCCGCAGCCTCCATGTGGACCATTGTGGTTTTCAGGGTTGTTTTCCAGGGCTCCTCTTTGGGGGGTTTCTCATCACGTTCCTCTCCTGCTGCTGCCTCAGGATCCTTGTTGGAACTCTTGACTGTAATGTGCAATTTCCTGCCTGCAGATTCTTTTTTCCTAATCAGAGTGCTGACAACAGTTGTCATGTGCTCCAGAGTTAATAACCTTTCGTGGTACAGCTCCAGCAGCTCCTCCCTCTTCTCCTCGGGGATGTAATCAGAGAAGATCAGGTCCCACAGAGACACCTGCTGTCCCTGCAGCTCTCCAGCAGGCACACTGATGCTGGTGGACCTCAGGGCCTCATCCAGGTGTTCTGAACAATCCTCTCCATCCTCCTGTGCCGCTGCCTCTGCCCTGTGTGTGCCCCTGGCCTTCGCCACCCGTGCGGCGTTTGCGGCCTCCGCCCGGTTCACCATGGTGGTGACCACGGCGCCCACCTGCTCTGTGCTCAGTATCCCTGCCCTGTACAGCTCCAGCAGTTCCTGCCGCCTCCCCTGAGGGACGTATCTGGAGAAGAGCAGGTCCAGCACAGAAACCTTCTGCCCCCGGAACTCCCCAGCAGTGACATGGACCGTCATGGACTTGAGGGACTTCCTCAGCTGCTGCTCCTGGGCCTGCGTGTCCTGAGCTGGAGGTGACGCCTTCACCTCACTGTTGGGCTTGGCTGTGGATGAGCCCAGAGCCCCATTGTCCCTTTCTGCCGCTGTGACGGTGGCGGTGAGGACGTCGATCATCTCTGCAATGCTCACTGCCCCTGCCTTGTATCTCCTCAGCAGCTCCTCTCTCCGGTGCTCAGGGACGTAGCGGGAGAAGAGGAGCTCCCAGACGGTGACGCTCTGGCCCTGGAAGAGCCCCACAGCCAGCGTGGTGCGGGCGGCCTGCAGGGCTCTGCGGGCATCCTCGCTCAGCTGGTGGAGTGCGGAGCCCTTGTCCATCAGCTGCAGCATCAGCAGCCCCGTGTCCGGGTCGGGCACGCAGCGGCGCAGCAGCTGCAGGTAGGTCAGGTTCTCGTGCGTGTTGGGGTCGAAGCAAGTCCTGGTTTGATTCTCGGGGTCGGAGAGGATCTGGCTCATCTCCTGGTCAAAGTAGCCACGCTTGTAGGCCACCTCCACGGGCAGGCGGTGGCTGTGCACGGGGTCGATGATGCCGCCGGTGGCGATCTGGGCCTCCAGCAGGCGGATGCCGTGGTCCCTGACGATGAGCCCTTTCTGCATGGCCTGGAACAGGGAGATCCTGCGGCCCGTGTAGGGCTCCGTGTACCCCGTCACGGCTCCCTCGGCCGACAGCAGCTTCTCGTAGAAGTCGTGGCCCACGAGCCCCCGAGCCAGCGCCTCTGCCACCGAGAGCCGCGCGGCACTGCCGGGGTCCGTGAGCAGCCCCGAGGCCGCCTGCGCCTCCAGCAGCACCAGCGCCGTGCCCGGGCTCAGCAGCCCCCTCACCATGGCCTCGTGGATGCTCAGTTTCTTCCCCTTGGCCTGGAGGAAGACTCCGGCGATGAAGCTGCTGCCGTCCCTGCCCGTCTCTCTGTGCTCACCTGGGCACAGGTGAGCACTCCCTGGGCTGCTCTGCTCACCGTTCTGGGAGCGTCCACTCATGTTCCTCATCTTCCTCTCAATCCTGCTCCTGCGGGGTGCTCGGAGGGTCTGAGGAGGGAGTGAGACATAAACTTTAAGGAATTTAGAGATTTTAGAGGAGCTGAGATTTTAGAGGTAAGTTTTATTGGAGTTAATTGAAATAAATGGGTAGGCCGATGAAGTTAAGAGTTGGTAATTAACTAATAATTAATTGTCAACACAATGTTTGGTTAGCTGGGTTAATAATGAAGAATACAGAGACTGATAAATGGCTTTTAGGAACATCAGACAATTGTGGCCTCCTCTGTCCTGAAACCAACTGAAGATGGGGAATGGGAGTTCTACCAATGGGTTCATTCGTCACATTTGCATTGAAAAGGCAGAAAGGTCAGAACGAGGAAGACTTCATTTACTTCCTCCTTTTGGGACCCCCTCCCCATGAACGAGACCACCGACCCATTTCAGGGGACAAACCATGCATGCTTAATGAACAAATTACTTTAGCCTTTGAAGTAATTACCATATGAAGAGGGGAATGGGATGTACCAAAGTTATGAATATGCATTTGTATTTTGGGTATTCAATGCTTGTAAGGATAAAAGGGTTCTGTAATCACCTGTAAATTGCAGTGTGTATTTGGGAGCTATCCCTCAGTAAACTCACACTTTCTAACTCTAAACTGCCAGAGAGTTTTTGTCCCGCACTGTTCGATATCGGAACCGGATCAATATCCATAATTCTTAATAAATCACGAGGAACAGACAGAGCCCCTGGTAAGACACAAATCCCTGCGTGGTTTTCACAGTGGGGTCCCCGCAGCCGAGAGGAGGGCAGAGGGAATGCGAGGGTCCCTTTGACTTGGCTGGGGATCCCCAAATTTCCTCTGTCCCCCTCCCCAAATTTGAACCCCTGGCAATGTTGGGGACCAGCAGGGTTTATTGGGAGGGGGTCCCTGCAGGTGGGGAAGGGCTTGGGGGAGATTTTGGGGTCCCCAGGAGGACCAGAGGGATCCTTGGGGAGTGCGAGGGTTCCTCTGACTTGGCTGGGGATCCCCAAATTTCCTGTGTCCCCCTCCCCAGATTTGAACCCCTGGCAATGTTGGGGACCAGTAGTATTTATTGGGAGGGGGTCCCTGCAGGTGGGGAAGGGCTTGGGGGGGATTTTGGGGTCCCCAGGAGGACCAGAGGGGGCTTTGGGTGTCCCTCTGGCTTTTCTGGGACCCCCAAATTCACGTCGCCCCCTCCCCAAATTTGAACACGGGAGCACAGCTGGGACCAGAGCAATTTTTGGGGGGAACTCGGGGTGGGGGAAGCCTCTCCCTGGAGGTGACCACAGGGAGAAGCAGGGAGGGGCATCTGAGCCTTTGCTGCTCCCTCAGAGCAGTCCAGGGTGCGGCTGGGGTGGGCAGGGAGCTCTGAGGGCAGGGCAGGGGTTGGTGACAGACACACGGCGTTGGTGACAGACACACAGCGTTGGTGACAGACACACGGCACACAGAGAATCACCCCGCAGCAGCAGGGACACCCTGCAGCCCCCCAGGGACCCCCCTGCTCCCTCAGAGCCCCAGACCTGCGCCCCCAGCCCCTCTCCTCTCCTCTTCCTGGGGGACACAACCACCCCTTGGTTTTGGGCTGGTGCCAGCACGATTCAGGACCTTGCCTTGAGTTTTGACTCTCATGTTTTCCTTGAGTTGAGTTTTATTCCTTGAGTTGAGTTTTAACTCTCCTATTTTCCTTGAGTTTTAACTCTCCTATTTTCCTTGAGTTGAGTTTTAACTCTCATGTTTTCCTTGCCTTGAGTTTTAGCTTTCTAATTTTCCTTGAGTTGAGTTTTAACTCTCCTATTTTCCTTGAGCTGAGTTTTAACTCTCCTATTTTCCTTGAGTTGAGTTTTAACTTTCATATTTTCCCTGAGTTGAGCTTTAGCTTTCTAATTTTCCTTGAGTTGAGTTTTAACTCTCATGTTTTCCTTGAGTTGAATTTTAGCTTTCCTATTTTACTTGAGTTTTAACTCTCCTATTTTCCTTGAGCTGAGTTTTAACTCTCCTATTTTCCTTGAGTTGAGTTTTAACTCTCATATTTTCCTTGAGTTGAGTTTTAACTCTCATATTTTCCTTGAGTTTTAACTCTCATATTTTCCTTCAGTTGAGTTTTAGCTTTCTAATTTTCCTTGAGTTGACTTTTAGCTCTCATATTTTCCTTGAGCTGAGTTTCAACTCTCCTATTTTCCTTGAGTTGAGTTTTAACTCTCCTATTTTCCTTGAGCTGAGTCTTAATTCTCATGTTTTCCTTGAGCTGAGTTTTAGCTTTCCTATTTTCCAGACTCTGCATTAGTAACTCTGAACTCCACACAAAGTGTCAGCAAGGTCTCCTCACAGCTCAGCCACACAGAACAATCCTTTTCCAGCCCCACAACCAAGGACATCACCGCAGCCTCAAGCCCAAAAAGTGCAAACAAAAGTGAATTGGGGAGAGCAACCTGGGAGGATGTGGCTGCATAACCTGTAATTGGAGCTGTAATTGGACAATTAGCCCCAATATGCAAACGAACCCAAACTTATAAAAGTGTGAAAAGCCATGACCCATCATCCACCTGGGGTGTAGCCACGGCTGGGCTCTTGCACGGCCCAGGGCGTGTCCTTTGAAGGCCCTTTAATAAATGCCTGCTCTATTGAACCCAGTCTGGCCTCTGTTCCGGGCATGGCTCCCTCCCTGCTCCCCGGGGCTGCCAGGGACAGCCAGGTTTCACCGGGGGTCTCCTCCCGAGCTCAGGGCACGCCAGGAGGCAGCAGTGGCTCCTGAGCTGATGGCACAGCCCCAGAGAGCTGCTGGTTGGTGCTCGCGGTCATTTCCTGCCCTGGCTGGCCCCGTGCTGGTCACAGGCTGGCCATGACCCTGGTGGGACGCAGGGGACAGCCCGGCTGTGAGTGTGGATGCTCCTGTGTGATCCCACAGCACCCTGGCACTCTGCAGGACACGGGAATAATTTCAGGGATGGATGAGTGGCTGTTCAGAGCCAGGGGCAGCAGCAGGAGCTGAGGGAGAGCTTTCCTCTGGCTCTGGGTTCTCTGGGTCTCTGCTTTTTCCAAGGCCACTGGGCGGGCAGAGACCCCAAACCCCGTCCTGCCACCCTCCTGTCCTGCAGAACCGGGCTCTGTGTGTTATTTAATGTAACTTAATTTGAGCAATCGCAGACGCATCATGGAATCCCAGGTTAATCTGGGTGGGAACAGACCTTAAATCCCATCTGGTTCCAGCCCCTGCCACAGGCAGGGATGCCACCCACTCCCAGGATGTCTCACGTTGTCACCTGGTCCCCTGCAAAACAACCTTTCAGCATCTGCAGCGCCGTGCAGCAGCGATGAGGCCACAGTCTCGTAAAAGCAGCAGAATCGAAACCCAGAGGATCACCCGGGGAACACCCATGTCCCGTGAACTCCTCTGGCTGACACTAACGACACGTCAGACTCGTTATCAGGGTCACAGCTCCGGTCCCTGCCTGTTTACAGAGCACCGGGGAAGCCTCTGAGTCACCGCTTTGATCCAGCGCAGTCCCGGATGGATGCTGGGGCGGAGGCCCCGCGGTGGGGCTGAGATTCACCCCACAGCCCGGCCCCTGCTCTGCGGGGACCCTGCCCGTGGCTCTGTCCCACTCCTGTCCCTCCCTGCCCATGGCTCTGTCCCACTCCTGTCCCTCCCTGCCCATGGCTCTGTCCCACTCCTGTCCCTCCCTGCCCGTGGCTCTGTCCCACTCCTGTCCCTCCCTGCAGCTCTGTCCCACTCCTGTCCCTCCCTGCCGTAGTTCTGTCCCACTCCTGTCCCTCCCTGCCCGGCTCTATCCCTGCCCGGTGACGGATAGAGCACTGGGAATCACGGGATCACTGCCACCGCGCTCCATCCCCATGGATCCATTGATTCCCACTGCTTCATCCCCATGGATCCCAGTGATTCCCATTGCTCTGGACCCTGGATCCCAGTGATTCCCACTGTTCCAGCCCTGGATCCCAGTGATTCCCAGTGCTCCAGCCCTGGATCCCAGTGATTCCCACTGCTCCAGCCCTGGATCCAGTGATTCCCACTGCTCCAGCCTTGGATCCAATGATTCCCAGTGCTCTGGACTCTGGATCCAGTGATTCCCACTGCTCCAGCCTTGGATCCATTGATTCCCAGTGCTCCAGCCCTGGATCCAGCGATTCCCACTGCTCCGGCCCTGGATCCCAGTGATTCCCACTGCTCCAGCCCTGGATCCCAGTGACTCCCACTGCTGGATCCAGTGGTTCCCCCTGGAGCCGGGACACCTTTGTAGGCCAGGGCTGTCGTGTGAACACCCTGCACCGCCAGCCCGTTTCCCAACCGCAGCCTGTCATTAGCAGCTCTCATTAGCAGCTCTCTAATCAGCCTGCGGGGCCGGGGCTGGGCTGCACACGCAGCTCCCGGGGCTGGCTCGGCCAGGAGGCTCCGGTGGGAGCGGTTTCATGGCCGGAGCCAGCTGGGGTGGCCCCGTAAAAAGGGGGTCCCCAGCCCTGCCCGGGGTCCGGGAGGGAAATCACACCAGTGCCCCCAGTACAGCACTGACACTGGGAGGGAAATCACACCAGTGCCCCCAGTACAGCACTGGGGAGGGAAATCACACCAGTGCCCCCAGTACAGCACTGACACTGGGAGGGAAATCACACCAGTGCCCCCAGTACAGCACTGACACTGGGAGGGAAATCACACCAGTGCCCCCAGTACAGCACTGACACTGGGAGGGAAATCACACCAGTGCCCCCAGTACAGCCCTGGGGAGGGAAATCACACCAGTGCCCCCAGTACAGCACCAGGGACAGAAACCACACCAGTGCCCCCAGTACAGCACTGACACTGGGAGGGAAACTACACCAGTGCCCCCAGTACAGCCCAGCACCGGCTCCTTGCCGGGCTCCTGGCGAATTCCCACTGCTCCAGCCCTGGATCCCAGTGATTCCCACTGCTCCAGCCCTGGATCCCAGTGACTCCCACTGCTCCAGCCCTGGATCCCAGCGATTCCCACTGCTCCAGCCCTGGATCCAGTGATTCCCATTGCTCTGG